CCCAGGGCCCACCCTGGATTCCAGCGCGAGTAGTACGGGTGCGAGGACCTCGATCATACGAGGTATCCTGTGAGGATGGCCAACTGCTCCACCGCCACATCGACCAGCTGCGGCGCCGGGTCCTCTCGGACGATCCCGTGGACCTGGAGCCCACCGAGCCAGGCGAAGAGTCAGCCACCGAGCCAGCGCAACAGGTCCCAGACTCCGTCCCTGTCCAGGCCAACCCAGAGCCTCCGGAGCTGCCACTACCAACGCCACAACCAACCTCCCCGCCCCGGGCTCCCGAGGTACATCCGACAGGCGCCCCGGAACCACGCCGCTCCACAAGGACTCGGAAACCCCCAACACACCTACAAGACTTTGTGTGCGGGTAGCCTGGACTATGGGGGGAGGGGTGTAATGTATCCGCCATTACCACGTGCGCGACCGTTGGGCCATGCAGTCAAGCACAAGCCCAGAGCTTCGTCCCTGCAGAACAATAGCGGAGCGGATCCTAGCCCGCACCAACCAGAGGGCCAGGTCCACGGCCGAGAGCCAATGGGACTCTCGGCCACTGTAAATAACCTATAGGGTCACTAGGGGGTGTGTTTTGGTGGTGGGTTTCTGAGCATATATACCGGCCTGCGTGCCGGGGTTTCTTGTCTTTGTTCTTCACTAATAAAGTACTCTTTGCTGAATCACTCCACGTTTCGAGTACTTTTCAATCTCGCTCTGATGTGAGCGCCCTGTTATCGCCATGGATGGGAGGGGTTCCAGACGATTCTGCCCCCCCGAGAGCCCTTGTAGGGAGCTCATAGCCTGGGGTGTGTGGGGGTGCCTCTTCTAAGGCAGCAGCTGAAGAATTGAGCCTCCCCTTTGCTCCTATAGGTCCCACTGCTGCAAGACAATCATGGACATAGAGGCACATAACGGAGAAAGCGAGCAAGAGATCTAGCACTTTGTTGCTCTCACCCAGCCCCTGAAGCAAACGTCGGGATGAACTGTGAGTTTGAGCGTCTTTAACTAACTAAGCGGAGAAGCAATCAACTGCCCGAAAGCCCTAATTTGAATCGGTAGGGGAGGAGGAGTGGGGAATTCCCTCCCCCATGGAAAAATCGTGGTGTATAAAATGAAGGGCAGAGAGCCGGTTGATGCTGAAAATCAACATAGCCAAAGTCAGTGTAGACCAGCTCAGAGTGTAATTAAATAAACAGATCTTCAGAGTGTCCAAACGAACTTTTTATTATATAAACAATGTTTCTATGAGGAGATAAAATGGCACCAAAGAGATTCCTTCTCCAGGAATTGCCAGCTCACAGTCAGCGAGACACAAGCCAGAAGTGCCTGCTGACTTCCCAAACATGTTAACTATGGCTTTGTGCCCTCTGCTGGACCAGATAACTAATCTCAACAGTAAATTTGATGGTCTTCAGAAACAGCTGAAAGAAACAACTACCAAGACAGAAGAAACTTATAAAATGGTTGTACAAATTGAAGACGAATTTAATAAACCAGAGACTGGAGGTGGTAGAAAAAGAGTGGATGTATGACAAGGAGCAGCTATTACAACTTCAAATGGAGAAATCATTTGAGGTTCCAGGGTATCCCAGAACAAAAAGGGGAGAACTTAAAAGAGATATTAAGTGAAACATTGGCACCAGTGACAGATTTGAAAGTGGAACTGATACAAAGCGATATGGATATGGTTTATCGAACCTACCCAGATTTCATTAAGAAAAATAAACTGCCTGGTGAAGTATTTGTTAAGTTCTCCAAGAGATCAATGAGAGACACCATCTTAAAAGCTACTAATGGGATGATCCTGAAAATCCAAGATGAAGAAATCCAAATACCAAAAGACATTCCATTTGAAATATGAAAGCGGAGGAGACAATATAAAAATTGAACTTCTTTTTTAAGCAACCAATCCATTCCCTACAGATGGATATTTCTGAAAGGACTTACCTTCAACTACAAAGATAAGGAACAGAAGATTGACTCTGTACAAAAAGCAAAGGCTTTTGTGAAGAAACATCAAACAACAGAATCATGAGATCTTGGAAGCTAAACAGGCAGGGCCCTGGCTAGTATTTGGGGGGAGACTTTCAAGGAACAGAATCATAGAGTTGGAAGGGACCTCCAGGGTCATCTAGTCCAACCCCCTGCACAATGCAGGAAATTCACAAATACCTCCCTCCATACCCCCAGTGACTGCGGTTCCACACCCCGAACATGACAAAAAAACCTCCAGTCTCCAGCCAAACTGGCCTGAAGAAAAATTGCTTCCTGACCCCAAAGTGGCAATCAGCATTTCCGTGGGAATGTAAGAAAGGGCCATGAGAACTAAGCACTGATGCAAAACCCTTCCTGCCCTCCCTTTCATGATCTGCCTAAGTTCACAGAATCAGCAATGCTTTCAGATGGTTATCTAGCCTCTGTTTGAAAACCTCCAAATAAGGAGAGCCCACCACTTCCCAAGGAAGCCTGTTCCACTGAGGAACCACTCTGTCAGGAAATTCTTCCAAATGTTTAGCCAAAAGCTCTTCTGATTTAATTTTGACCCATTGGTTCTGGTCTGACCTTCTGGGGCAACAGAAAATAACTCCCTACCATCCTCTAGTCCAGGGCCACCACCTCGGGGCTCAGGGAAGCAGGAGAAGGTCCCCCCCCCCCGCGGGCATTGCAGCTGCCACGAGAACAGCCTCGGCCAGGCAGAGATGGGGGGGGGGGGAAAGAGATTTTTCCGGGATGTGTGGCAGGCAGAGACGGGGGGAAGAAGCCGACTTACCCTCCTGCTTCTTCCTCGTTCTGGAACAGAATGAGGCTGGAATCAGAGAGCGGCCGGAAGAAGGGGCGGGGCTTCGCCATGTGACTGGCCCCCCGTGCTGCTCTCCCGGAGCGATGTACCGGTGTGCTCCGGCCCGATCCGAGGCCTGGTTCTGGATTGAGTTAAGAGTGGTATAACATTAATGTGTCAGTGGTCAAGGATAAGATTAAGTACATCTAAATTACTGCATGGAATCAAACATAGATTAGTTTGTACCGCAGACTTACAATGTGTGTTTCACCAAATACAAACACAAATCAGAAGAGTTGCATAGCATCAAGGTAGAGATTATTTGGGGAACAAATAATTGTTGTAGTAATTCCAACTCCCATCACCCTGTTTTCACCCACAGTTTGAACTGAACTTTTGTTTAAATGCACTCTGCTGGGGTAGAAACTGTACTTCCTGTAGACTTGTGTATGTGGACCATTTTGATGTGAGCGGAATGCTGATGTTCAAAAACAAACTTGACAATTCTTAACAATGGGGTTAAGATATGTCCATTTGTGGCTTTTAATACTGAGTCACCAAATTGCATATTTTTGCATGTGTTATGAAAAATGTGGATTCTCTTAAACACATTTATCAGGAACAATTTATGTGTTATTGTTGGGATTCTTTTTGAGTAAGTCAGCAGAGTAAGTATTAAGAGACTGAGTCCATGGTGTGTATTAAAATATAAAAGTTTACTATAAATCTAACATGGGAAAAAGGTACACAGGATATAAAATAACAAAGAGCTAATATGGCTACATCCTTACAGCTAAAAGGTAAAATGGGAATGGCTGGCGTCTTCTTCCTTAGTCAGAACAAAGAGAGTAAAAAGACGCCAATATGCTAAATACTTGACACATTGTTTTCCAATCAGACTAGCAAGTTAGCTCCAAAGCTCCCGGGCATTCTATTGTCTAAACAGATTGGTTACAAACAAACATGTGACTTCCTGTTGATCATAACAAACATCATTAATCCTGTAAATACTGAAGTGTTTTGACTTGTAACACCCAACAGTTATGGATGCCATTGAGAAGCTGCTTTGCATTGTTAAAAATAGTTACTATTATTGTGCAGTGGCCAAGTATGTTGTCCAGTTACTTTCATTTATGTTACTATCATGTTCATTGTGGAGTAAAATCCCTCATTTTAGACAGTGAGCCATTTGGCAGAAGGAACTGGTGATTTTAAACGTACCATAGTTGGGTTTTGCTTGAATGTGTATTTGTAGAAGGTGTTGGTATGTAATTAATCCTGTGGTCTTGAGGTGGGAAAAGGTAGAAAGTGAAACAAATAAATCTTTTGGGTGTTACCCTTGGAGGTAGGGCATTCAAACTCCTGTATTTACTTGTGGCAACGGGGATTCTCCTATGATACACTTTTTGAGATTTCTTTTTCTTGGTATATGATAAAACAATGTTATCTTTATTACTTTGTTTTAGTTTTACAGAATTTTTGGATCCATTCCAGAGAGTTATTCAGCCAGAAGAGATCTGGCTCTATAAAAATCCTTTGGTAGAATCTGACAACATACCTACACGCCTCATGTTTGTAAGTACTAGAGATTTCATGATTGTTTGAAAGACTGTATGAGGCTCACTTGGCTGTATGCTAGCTAATATGAAGACAGAGATAAGTCGTTGTTGGGGGGCAGAACGACTCTCAGCTGCATATAAAAGCTGATGTGGTATTATTGAGTTGAACAGGAGTTTGCACATTGGTCTGTATGCCATTCCTCTAAACCAGGGTCTCCCGACATGTAGTCCACAGGCACCCTGGTGCCTGACACAGGAGCGGGTCTTGTGCCCAGCAGGGCTTCATATTGTCCAAGAGAGTTCTGATTGGCTCTGCAGTTTGAAAAAAAACCCCAATGTTTCAGTGGCTGCAGCAGCCATAGCGCACAGATCTTCACTTCTGAGTATAAGCAGCCCCAGGCTTTGTCTGTTATCCTCCCTTTCCACTTGTTCAGCCTGGGGTGGGGGGAGATAAGAGAAGAGCCCACTGCCACAGCGCAATCCAGAGGACTAGGTCCTGATACTCAACTGATAGAATATCCACTTTTGAAGCAATCTTTCTTTAAACCTTGAGAAAGCTTTGAAGTGAAACATGGAGATATTAGGCTGGCTCACAAGTTGGGGAAAGAGGAAAAGAAACCAGCAAAAGCTACAAATATATTGGTGGGCTAATTTGCGGATGTATATATGGAATTGTGGAGCTGCGGTGGCTCAAGTGGTTAAGACGCTGAACTGCAGGCTGTGGAAGGTCAGTAGTTCAGCGGTTCAAGACCCGGGTGCTGCAAGACAGGGTGAGCTCCTGTCTCTAGTTCCAGCTCCTGCCAACCTAGCAGTTCGAAAGCAAGAAATTGCAAGTAGATAAATAGGTACCACTTCGGTGGGAAGGTAACAGCGTTCCGTGCGGCTTGGTGTTTAGTCATGCCGGCCACATGACCACGGAAACGTCTTCGGACAGCGCTGGCTCTTCGGCTTTGAAACGGAGATGAGCACCGCAACCCTAGAGTCGGATTCGACTGGCTTTCGAGCAAGGGAACCTTTACCTTTACTATATGGAATTGTATTTCTGAAAGTGTTTACTTCAGAGTCATTGTTTTGGAGGAGTAGCATTCACCTGCAGAAAAAACTAATTAGGGTTTGCTCACTACTCCAGAGTTACTATCCTCTGTTTAAGTCTCTGTTGTTACAATAGTCACTTGCCTGTACAGTTTATAACTGGATTACTTAGATATATAAGTGAACAGTCTACATAATTTGTAATTGGATTACTTAGATATATAAGAAAATAATATAAGGATGGTATTTTGATATTAGTTTCACAGTTCTTGTTTTTGCTGGTTTTCTACTGTGAAGCTCATTTTTTGGGCTACTTTTGCTCTGGTTGTGGGCATTCTACAATGCAGTACCAGAAAAAGCCCACCAGCCTGAATCGGTGAAGGAATTAAAAAAGCCTGCCGATACCTGCCAGCTGGCACTTGTCCCCAGCATTGCTGACACAGCCCAGGACAAAAATAAGCTGGCTGGACTGTGTGGGAAGGCAGACAAAGGCCCCTCTTCCCACTCCAAGCCTGCCCCCTAAGTGGTTCTGCTGCAGCCGGGGAGAACAAGATGGCCTGTCATTCCTTCTCAAACCTGCTGGCATTGTCCTATTCCTGCTCTGCCCCCACCATCCAGTTCCCTTCCATCCCATGCAGCAGCGCCCAGCACAAAAGCAGACTGGCTGGCTTGAAGGGGGGAAGAAGGAAAGCTCTTCGCTTCCTGTCCCAGCCAGCCAGCCAGCTACTTTCCATCTGAAGCAGCAGTGCCTAGGAGGAAAGCAGGCTGGCTGTCCTGGGTGTGTGGGGGATAAAGCCCTTCTCTCCAGCACCTGGGAGGAAAGATGGCTGGCTGGCTGGTTTGAATATGGGGGCAACACCCTCCCCAAAGTCCCCCCAGCCAGCTGGCTACTTTCCATCCCAAGCAGCAGCTCCAGGGACAAAAGCAGGCTGGCTGATTTGAAGTCGCGGAGGAGTAAAGAACTACCCCCTCCCTGAAGCCACCTGGCTACTTTCAGTCCCAAGCAGCAGCCCCTGGGATAAAAGCACACTGGCCGCTTGAGTAAAGCTCTCTGTCTGTCCAGAATGAGGTGCATATATGTAAAGTTCTTTTCTTTCCTTGTCCTGAGCACCACAACAGGACTGATGGCCTTGTTGTGGTTTTTTATGTGTGAGGTGTGTGTGTGTGTGTATGTGTGTGTGGGAGCGAATTTCATACTGCTGACATCCGATTATAGTGAAGGGAGAAAAAAGAGGGGAGTCTTTTAAAAGGAGATCTGCTTGCAGTCCTTAGATTTACATGTGAATTAAGACTATTCTTGTTTCACTCAGTTTTGCTTATTGATTGGTTTTGTGTTGTTAAAGACTATGTGGGGCTTTAGTGTGGTGTTTTAATATTTTGTTCATGTTTATTTTAAGCAATATATTTTGAGTTTTGGTAATACATTGTAATATGTATTTTGGTAACTCTTTAGAAATCATTTATGTTCCTATCAGAACCTGACCATAATCTCTCTCTTTCTGTACATATCACATATGCAGTGAGGTCCAACCAGCCTTTCCGCACCAACTGCCATTGTTAAAAGAAATAGCACAAGCTGAAAATGTCCGGGAGAGAAGGGCTCATCTAAATCTAAGAGAAGCCAGAAGAAACATTTTTTTCCCTTTTGCATAAGTGTGTTAGATGCCTACAAAATGAAAACAGATTAGGGCTGCCAAGTCCCCCCGGGGGGCGGATAACCCCCCACTTTGGAGGCCCAATTTCTGCCACCGTGGAATCGGGCCCCGGGGGGAACCCCATCCCGGCGTGCACATCAGCCAGAGGTGACTGGATGACGCCGGGCACACGGGGGGCGGGGCCACAGCCATCTGAGGGGAAAACTCTATGGTTTCCCCTCAGATGGCTGTGGTCCCACCCCCAGCGTGCCTGGCGTCATCACGTCACCTCCAGCTGACATGCATGCGGCGCGCACGCTCTTTGCGCATGCGCGCTCAAGACGCCATCCGGGATCCCACCGCTGTGGAGCGAAACGGACTTGGGAACCCTAAAACAGATGCAGCCAGATGAGGGTTTCTTAGCTAGCAGATGTACACTTATTTCGTGTGTATGCAAGAAACTGTTTTAAACATGTTAATTTTAAAAGACATTCTGTTAAACAGAGATTCTGTCTGAAATGCTGAAGAGTTATGCATAACCTCACTCCCTGACTTTTTGTAGTTGGCGCTGCCTCTGATGTTAGCCGTTTTATGGTTGGCTCCACCTCCCGTGGAAGCCATTTTGTGGTTGCGCCCACCACCTTCTATCAGCATTCCAAATGCGCCTGCAGACTACAAAAGGTTGGGGTGCCCAGCTCTAAGTAATATCAAGTTCTGGTTCATTCAAGTTTACTCTTTAGAAATTGCTGAGTATACTATTGCATCAGTAGGGTTACCAGTCCTGAGATTGGCCTAGTGAAAAGGCTATAAATAAAATGGGGTTTCTGTAGTCCTCCCTGGCATGCTTTGCCTAACATCAGTTTTTAAAATTATTATTTATATCCTGCCCCCCCATTTGTGAGCTAAAGGCCATTTACATAAGCTTCTCAGGAGGTCTCTCACTAGGGCAGTGACCTTTTTAACTTCAGCAGAATTGCTGCATCTCATGCCTTTTCCATCCCTTTCCTCCCCAACCTTGAGGAAGTTAGACTAAGGAGCTGTATAGACTAACATTCTATTCTTTTCCTAGTACAGATGGTAGATATGCGATCCAAACAGGGATTGCACTAGACTGCCATCTGGCTTCTTGCTTTCTTTCATGAACTTCATGAATTGGAACTGTTGCGAAGTCAGTTTGCAGCAAATTAGGATAAACAAGTGGTGTCTGGAAACACCCTTTACTGTAGGCAGCTCCACACTGAATATGGTAAACAACCTTGCCGGAAAACCAGATGTCCATGCAACAAATTTATTAGCTATGGTCCATGTAAAGATGATTTGAACTTAGCACTGGCTGTTATGTTTCTGTGGTCTTCAAACTTTCCAGACTCTACCCCAGATGGTAGCATAGGACCCACTGAATTTCAAGCATGTGCCAGGAAGTCATGTGGCATCACATTCAGAGCTGTATGGCGAAAGAAGAGGACCTAGAGTTGCCAATGCCAGGACTGTGGGTAGCAAACAAAGAGAACTGGGGACAGAAAACACAAGCTGAGCATCAGGAAGTATACCATAGTTAGTAACAAGCCCAGGGATCAGAGCCATGGACGATAGAATGATTATCCCTGACTGTCTTGCTGTTCCTTCCATGATGTATACCAAGAGATGCAGGAGGCGTGTCACCCTTCCTCCTGACATATGTATACTAGCAGGAGGTTCTTCCACAAGGAAGCAAAAACTTGTAGTTTACAGCTGTTCGAGACCCGCCACGGCCAGAGTGAGCACCTGGCCCTTGTCCCAGCTCCCACTAACCCAGTGGTTCGAAAGCGCCAACTAACATCAAAAATGCGCAAGTAGATAAATGGGAACCTACCTTAGAAGGTAGGGGGCACCCTCCCCCGCTGTGGGGGCCGTTGGAGTGTCGGAGCTCGGTGGAAGGCAAAAGCGGCAAGCGGCGAGAGGCGAATATGGCGTCCGGGCACATCGGAGGCGGAACAGACGTCGGCGGAGAGGCGGAGCCAGGACAACATGCGAGCGTGGATGGCACAGGCGGGGCAGAGCCGTGAGGACTGAGCCAAGGCCGCGCTGGAGCATGCCACGTGACAGAAGGGCCCGACCGATCCGACACTGAAAGACTGCCAGAAAGGAGCCAGAAGCCGAGTGATGCCGAAAGTCAACGTAGCCGACCTGGGAGGAAAACCCCTCCACTGGGTGCCGGTAGGGATTGTCCCCACCCCCAATAATTGTGGCCATAGGTTAGGGATAAAGGAGTAACTGTAGCCGCTCAGAGACCCCTTAGGAAGCTAGAGTGGGGTAGTAAGCTGAAAGAAATAAAAAATAAAAAATAAATAGTTCTGTCTGGGTTTGCAAC